GATACTATTCCAATTCAGCTCTCTGCTATGGCCTAGGAAAGTAGCTAAAGATGGTCCAAGTGCTTGGGCCCCTGCACCCAAGGAAGCCCAGAAGCTCCTGGCTCCCTGCTCCTGGATTCAGATCAGCCCAGATAGGGCTATTGTAGCCATTTGGGGAATGAACCAGTGGATGGAAGACTTTACTCTCTGTGTCTCCCTCTCTCTGTCTGTAACTATCTCTCAAATAAATAAAATCTTAGGGCCGGTGCCATGGCACAGCGGGTTAAATCCCTGGCCTGAATCACCGGTATCCCATATGGGCGCCAGTTCTAGTCCCGGCTGCTATTCTTCCGATCCAGCTCTCTGCTATGGCCTGGGAAAGCAGTAGAAGATGGCCCAAGTCCTTTGGCCCCTGCACCCACGTGGGAGACCCAGAAGAAGCTCCTGGCTACTGGCTTCAGATCAGCGCAGCTCCAGCCATTGCAGCCATCTGGGGAGTGAACCAGTAGAAGGAAGACCTCTCTCTCTCAGTGCCTCTACCTCTCTCTGTAACTCTGTCTTCTAAATAAATAAAATAAAGCTTTAAAAAAAATAAAATAACATTGATAATCTAGGGGTCAGCAAGCACTGTGGTGTAGGGGGTGAGGCCACAGTCTGCAGTGCCTACATCCCAAATGGATGCCAACTTGGGTCCCAGCAGCTCCACTTCTGATCCAGCTCTCTGCTATGGCCTGGAAAAGCAGTGGATGGCCCAAGTCCTTAGGGACCCTGCACCCATATGGGAGAACTAGAAGCTCCAGGTGCCTGACTTTGGATCAGCCCAGCTCCGGCCAAGGCAGCCATTTAGGGAGAGAATTGGCAGATGGAGGATCTCTCTCTCTCTCTCTCTCTCTCTCTCTCTCTCTCTCTCTCTCTGCCTCTCTATAACTCTGCCTTTCAAATAAATAAAAAGAAATCTTAAAAAAAAAAGTAACAGGGGACAGTGCTGTGGCATAGCAGGTAAACCACTGCCTGCAGTGCCTGCATCCCATATGGGCACTGATTCGAGTCCCGGCTGGGCTACTTCTGATCCAGCTCTCTGCTATGGCCTGGGAAAGCAGAAGATGATGGTACAAGTGGTTGAGCCCCTGCACACACATGAGAGACCAGGAAGAAGCTCCTGTTCCTGGCTTCAGACTGGTGCAGCTCCAGCCATTGTGGCCAATTGGGGAGTGAACCATTGGATGGAAGACCTCTCTCTCTGTCTGCCTCACTTTCTCTCTCTGTGCAACTCTGACTTTCAAATAAATAAATAAAACTCTTTTTAAAAAAAATACATGTTTTTTAAAAAAAAAGTAACAAATTTTTTAGTTATTGACAATCTATATGAAATGGATCAATTCCTAGAAACATATAACCCATCAAGACTGAAAGTTGAAGAAATCTCAGATACCAACAGATCTTAATGAGTAAAAAGACTGAGTCAGTAACACAAAGTTTCCCCTCAAAGAAAAGGCCACAGCCAAGGGGGTTTCTATCAAACATTTAAATAACATCATGATACTAATCCTGCAACTCTTCTAATACTTGAAGGAATGATACCTCTATACTCATTTTATAGGGCTATCATCACCCTGATGTCAAATCAGGCAGACACTAAAAGAAAGGAAAACAACAGGCCAACATCTCAGGTAAACAGATGGAAAATTGCTCAGAAAAATACCAGCAAACAGTATTCAAGAGCACATTAAAAGGATCATTTACAATTAAGTGGGATTTGTCTCTAGGTTGCAAAAATGGTTCAACATCTACAAATTACAACATCTACAAACATCTACAAATATGACCCAACACAATAATATAATGAAGGACAAAACTATAGCACATCCCCAGAGATGCAGAAAACGCATCTGGCGAAGTTCAACCACATATCCATGATGAAAAAAATACTTTCAAGAAATTTGGTATAGAAGAAATATATCTCAACACAATAAATGCCATTAACAAGCTCAGAGCTAACACCATAGTCAGTGAAAAGTTGAAAATTTTCTCAAAATTCAAAAACAAGATAAAGATACCCACTCTCACCACTTCTACTGCATCTAGTTACATGACCTCCAGTCCAAGCAGTTAGGGAAGAAAAAGATATAAAGACTTGCAAATAGAAATGAAGAGATGAAATTTTCTGTGTGCTGAAAACATAACCTTATATATACAAAACCAAAAAGATCATTTACCACAATTGAGTGGTAAAATGGAAGCATGGTTAAATATATACAACTCAATAATGCTTCATCACATTAACAGAACAAAGGACAAAAGCATATATGTATATGTAAATAATACCTACATATGAAGGGAACAAGAAAAAATGTTTAAAAATATCAAATTCTAAAATTTAAAACTGGGGAAAAAAAAACATGTGATCATCACATCAGATGGAGAAAAAGCATTTGATGAAATTCAATACATTTTCATGAATAAAAAAACCCTCAAGATTAAGTGTCCAGGGTCCATATGAACTACCAGATGGAAGACATCTCTCTCTCTCTCTCAGATGGAAGACATATCTCTCTCTCTCTCTCTCTCTCTCTCTCTGCCTCTGACTCTCTGTAACTTTGCCTTTCAAATAAATAAATAAAATCTTTAAAAAAATCAGATGTCCAAGAAGTATACCTGAACACAATGATGGTCATAAATGAAAACCCCGCAGCTACCACCAGAGTTACAGTGAAAATCTGAAAGCTTTTCCTCTAAGGCTTAAAAAGACAAGGATATACATTCTAATCATATCAATTGCATACAGTACTTAAATTTCTAGCTAGAATGATTAGGCAAGAAAAAGAAATAAAACCACATGGAAGTGCACAGAAGTAAAATCATCTGTTTGCTGATTACACTATCTTACAAGATGCCTGAACTATCTTTAAATATCTTGCAGTATTTAAAGAGTAATATAAAAATAATATAAAGGGGGGCCGGCACTGTGGCATAGCAGGTAAAGCCGCCACCTGCAGTGCCAGCATCCCAAACGGGCTTCAGTTCAAGTCCCAGCTGCGCCACTTCTGATATAGCTCTGTGCTGTAGCCTGGGAAGCAGCAGAAGACAGCCCAAGTCCTTGCACCCCTGCACCCACGTGGGAGACCCAGAAGAAGCTCCCAGCTCCTGGCTTCAGATCAGCACAACTCCGGCTGTTGTGGCCAACTGGAGAGTGAACCAGAGTATGGAAGACCTTTCTCTTTCTGCCTCTCCTTCTCTCTCTGTGTAACTGTGATCTTTAAGTAAATAAATAAATCTTAAAATAATAATATTATAAAGGGTGATAGACAAGATTACCAATAGAAAGGAAAACCAGGAAAAAATGCAATTTAATTTCTATAGCTATAAAATAGAGTAAGTATAATAAAAATCCACTTGTAGGCTAAATAGTTTGGAATAGGAACAAAAAATTTAATTGAATTTGAAATATAGTCTGATTCTGATATACTCCCCAAAAGCATGTGTTGGGAACTTGATTCCCTTGGCAATAATTTTAGTTCTTAGTAACAGATTAACAACAGTTTTGAAAGGGCCTGAGGCTATGAGATTTTTCTCTTACTCTCTCATCATGTAATGACGACTGTCATGTTAGGATGCAGGAATTTGGCCCTCTTCAGATGGGTCTTCTTGGCCTTGGACTTCCCAGACTCCAGACTACAAGAGATAATTTTTTCATTATAAAATTATCCATTTTATGACATTTTTATAGCAACACAAAATAGACCAATACATAGGTTCTAATCTTTTAAAAATGTTTATTTATTTTTAAAGGCAGAGTAATAGTTGGAGACAGAGAGAGAAATAAAAAGATCTACTCTCTGGGGTTTACTCCCCAGATGGCCACAATGGCCAGGGCTGAGCCAGACAAAAACAGCAGCCTAGAACTCCACCTAGATCTTCCACATGGATGGCTGGGCCCAAGTACGTAGAGCATCATCTGCTGCTTCCCTGGGTGCATCAGTAGGGAGATGGACTGGAAGAAGAGTAGCCAGATCCAAACCAGCACTCCGATATGGGATGCCAGCATTGCAGGTGGTGGCTTAACCCACTGCACCTCACTGGCCCTGATATTTCCTAACATTTATGAGAGAGAGAAGGAAAATGCAGAAAGCTTTAGAAAACCATGAAACCAATATACTAAGCTAAAGTACTTCAAAAAGTTTGCAGACAGTGGAAGTAAACATAAGCTCACTTTGGTAAAAACATTTTTAAAATCCACTTCGGATTGGCCTCTCTCTCCCGCCCTGTGTTCTTCCCCGAGCCACCTCAGGCCTCTGCCAACAAAAGGACACCGCCAGACGCTGCTCAACCTCGGACCAAAACCTTGAGCCAAACAAACCGCTTCTACCACCCACCCGGCGTGGGACGCTGTGCTCAGGTAACAGGAGAAGGACTCGGTGCCCCAGGAAGAGCTACTCTGAGAGAACCCGGCGGTGTACCTGAGACTCCACTCCCCGTGTAGTTAGAAACTCAGGGCAATCGGGCACCCTGGGCAGAGAGAGGGGCAGGAGGACCCGCAGACCACAGCTCCTCCCCACAGTGCAGTCCACAGTCTCCCTGAGGACCAGCCCGCCCTAACTGCACAAACAGGGCAGACCTGGGGCTGCGGTCCCTGGGCGGAGTCCTCACGGGCAGAAGCCCGGGTCCTGGCCACCAGCGCAGCTCCCACCCGGTGGGCCCCACACTCACCATTTCCTCGCTTCCGCGGCATTCTGGGGTCCTCGGGCGGCTCCTGCGGTGCAGGAAGGTCACACAGCGCAGCCCCTGAGGCACCTGAGCCCGCTCAGCAGCAGCCCCGGGGACCCCTCCCAGCGCTGCCACAAAGAAAGATCCCGCGGGGCTCCGCAGGGTCGCCCTGACGTGCCTGATTGGACAGTGGCCGCAGCCGGCCGCGCGACGTCACAGAAGGTGCAGCCAATCAGAATCCCCTAGGCTGGGGCGGTTCCTTGGGGCGGTGCCTGGTAACAGGGGAGGTGGGGCTCAGACTGAAGCCGCCGTGTTCTCCGGCCCGGGTGCTCCGGCAGCAGGGGGCGCTGTCCCTGCTCTGGGCACCTCAGCTTCTGGGCGCCCTCAGCTGTCTGCGGTCCTGCTGGATCCTGTGAGCCCAAGCTTGCTTCCTGAGAGCTGCAGTTTACAAGGTGCTTGCTGAACGCGTGCCTTTCCCGCAGTCTTGGCTTGCTGTTGTTAGCTCATCTGAGGGTTTGTAAAGCTGTTTATCTGAATGTAGTTAAAGATATCACATGGACTATTTCATCTTTCATTTCTCTTACAGGGATGTGTTTGTTAGTCTCTGTTTTGTCCTTCAAATTGTTTTCTGTTTATTTCTTGCTGGTGAATAGTAAACCAGTTGATGGCATATATTTTCTTAATATTTTCTGTTACATATGAATTATGTTGGATTATCTGTTGATAATGACATCATCCACATATATTGACAGTATTGTTGCTTAAAAGTTGGACCTTTCACCCAATATTTCCTTTTTATTAATTTCTCTGACTACACCTCATGTACAATGTAGAAGAGAAATAATGAAAACAAACAGCTTTGTCTAGGTCTGCTTCCGGGGAAAAGATTTCAATGTTATGTGTGAATTATGCTGTTTTTAATAGGTTCACTATAGTAGGTAATCTTAGTTGGAATAATGAAGTTGCTATGATGTACTATTCTAACAGCTTCTTATTTAAGGTTAGGTACTAAATTTGATTAAATCTTCTAATGCCATGGATGAGTTACTCACTGGAGATTGTCCACTATTATGTTAGGTTAAAGGGGGAAGGCACCCATCAGAGCTGATGGGCACCCCTCTGGATGGATATATTCCTAAGAGGTGAGAATCTGATAGGTGATAGAATAAAGGGCAATTATGGAGAAAGAGAGTGGGCAAGCTTCTGTCTCCATGAAATACTGGCAAAAAGATTTGGCTGCCGCTAGACAAGGCAGGGGAAAAGAAAAGAAGGCTAGGCATGGATCATTCTTTGGAGCAAAGTTGCTTAGGACTTACCACTGTTCTTTAGTTGCTTTTTGTTTGTTTGTTTTGTTCTTGTTTTTTTCTAGCTCTGTGAAATATATTACTGGAGATGGCTGGAACAGAGGTTTTTGTCTTCATGAGAGAGTGAATTTGTATGTAAGACAGAGTAGCAGTGTGAGATATGGCTCCATTATGTTAGGTTTTAGTATTTTACAGTTCATAAAAGGAGAGTAGGTGGCTAGTTAGAGAAGATTCTATTCTAGGGAGGGCAGAACAGGAGGGTAAAGAGAGAGCAGGGCTGAGCTGCCCAGACCCAGGGTGAGGGGCAGGATTTGAGATCAGTCTACATTTCAAATGAGCCATAGGCACAGTCCTTTCTTAGGCTGCTTTCTGCAGGAGGTGCAGAGCACCACATCAACCCTGATAAGGTAGGCAGAAAATGTAAGCAAGGCTCCTCAGTGAAGTTTACAGTACACTGTCTTAGCGGTTTGGAATGTCCCAGGTGCAGGACTTTTCAGAGCAGCTAACATTCTGCTAGCCTTTATAGTATCCTTTGGCACCCATAGGAAGAGAGCAGCAGGACAGAGGAGGAGGGTTCAGGCAGAGAGGAGAGAGACAGCCAGACAGGGGGACACGGTGAGTAAAGGGTCGTAATCCTGAGGTGCAGCATCCTTGAAGGAAGAGGAAGAGTGGAAGGAAATCAGAGGTTCAAGAGGAGCCTCTAAGCCTTTCTCCTGCCCAATGGCTTGGAATGAGGAACATCGGCCTCAGAGGACAAAGGCTTGGATGCAGCAGACCTCTGACTATTTGCACTTCTCTATGTAAAGTTATTAAAGTTGTAGAGGATTTTGAGACAAAATGGCCAAATTCTGGCCATTTTTGGAGCCATTGTCCAATTCATATTGAGGCCAAACTTTACTGCAGAAGAAAGTGAGTTGCTTTGGCTTTATCTCTCTTTAGGCCCAACCTGCTCAAGATTTATTAACAGACAGCCCAGAGGAGAGGCAGGTGAGATGTGAGAAATTTTGGAACCCATGGATTAAGCAAAATACAGCCTGAGGGAAGGGGGCTGTTTCATAAGTCATCCCTGGGGAAGAGTCATTCCAACTGAGAACCTAAGTTCCAAGTCCTCTTGGAGGAGAGAGAATCCCAAAGCTTAGATCAGAGTCCCAGGTCTAAGCTGTGATAGATGAGTATTTCCCACACCTCTTGGAGATGTAGGAGGCTGGAAAACTGACTGAACACACAGACCCTAAAAAGGAGGGATGAACCAGCCATGAGCATCAGCCCCAGCGGGCTTGAGGTTGTAGAGACCTCTCTTATCAATCTGATGGGTTGAGAATGAGGTCCAGTGCAGCATGCAACAATGAGATCTGCAAAAAGGCGTTGGCTGTGAATTTACAGGGAGAGGAGAAAGTGCAAGTGGAGGTGAGGAGATGAATGACCAAGGCACTTTGCCACAGAAAGAAGAAACTTCAGAAGGAGGGGGGACGGATCATGATGCTTACCCAGAGGATGAAGGAGCAGCCAGTTTCTGAGGGACTGCCATGGGTGAGAGTCTGATTTCCTGTGCCCCTCCTTACACGGGGCACCAAATGTAAGGCAAAGGGATCAGAACAGATAGGAGACAGGACACGAGCTTGCAGCCAGAACAAAGTCATTCCGGAAAAATAAATCCGCAGAGCTGGGTGGCCAACAGACAGCATGCATACAGATTGAACATGTGGCAGAGGGCCCAATCCTCCACTGAGCTGGGCCTTATGTATCTTTTGTGCTAAGATTCCAGTGGGGGAGAGGGACAGCAGGTGGAGATGAGTTTCTCCATACAGATTTTTCCCCAGGCTTTCAAACTTGGAAAAGAATGCAGGAGTGGGGAACAATACAGGGCAGGGAGCTGAGCTGGTCTCTTGAAAGAAGGCAGGGATTAGGAGTAAAATGGAATTTTATCTACTTTCAGGCAGGAGCTAAAATGTCGGAGGCTTATATCTCTGTTCCATCAAATAGTGTTGCCAGAATTTCCCCAATGTAGACAGCAGATTTGCATAATGGGACGAAACAGGCAGAGCTGGGACAGAAGGATTTTGCATCAGACTGATGCCCCCCTTTTCCCTAGTGTGGAGTGGCCTGAGAGCTGAGATGTCCTGTGGTGAAACGTCCTTGGGTTGTATCCACACAATAGTTATGGGGGAAAACTCAGATGTAGACTCCTCTAAAGTAAGGAGTGAGGTATAGCTGGCTACAGACAGCAAAAAGCACCTACGGAAGGCTTGGACAGGGCCTCAGTCCTGTAGACATGCAGAGGCTCCCAATGGCTAAGATGGGCTGAGTTTGCCCAGGCTCCCAGTGCACAGTATGTGGGATAGAGGAGGAGGTTCTGGAGGTTGCATAGGAATTCTGGTCCTTAAAGCTATAGTTTAAGCTCAGTGAGGACAGGAACCAGAACTTCTGCCCTCCTTTCAGTTACCCTAGAGTCTTCTTGTCAGTAGAAGAGCAAAGGTTAGCCCCAAGGTGGCAACTAGAGTTGATGTGGTCATGTTTCAGCTGCAGCTAATGCAAATCAAATTATGTAAATCTCCCACCTGCCCGCAACCTCTAGACTGTAAATGAATCCTGGCTCTCTGAATACAACACAGCAGGATTATTCCTAGCAGGAATGGTATTCATTGTGGGATGAAGCTTCCTGCAGAGCCAGAGATTCCATTAATTAAAGAAGAGCCACCTGAAGCCTGCCATGCTCAGATGGAGTGGTGAGGATAGTCTTTTTAGTGTGATGGCTCTCTGGGCTAAGAGTTCTTGAGCTAAGAGCAAGGGACATCACCCTACTCCCCCACCTGAAAGCTCAGATACCCCTGGGGCCATTCAACTCACAAACACATGAAGCCCACCCCCCACATTCATCTGGGGCCCAGATCTGGAAGTAAAGGGCTCCTGTTGTGGGCTTGGAGAGCCATGACCCATTTCCTATCTGCAGACTCTAAGGCACAAGCAGGCTTCCTTGGAGGAAGATTAGGTTCCTGACTCCCAACCTGCATTCCCATCACACTTCCATGTGGTCCTGATGCAGACATTTGTATCCTAGTTGTCTTTAGCACCCAGGTTAATTGTCTTATGTCAACAAACATGAAAGATGGACACAGAAGGGTGAATGAAGAGCAAGATTTTATTGAAACTGAAAGAGAGAATGAGAAAAAGCACAGTGGCTTGGCAGGAGGGATCCCCTGAGGGATTCCCTGAGGAAGGGGAAATCAGAAGGCTTCTATTCTTTCTGTTGTGGGAGAGTTTAGATATTTTTAAGAAACTTTATTTAAGGATCATTCCACTGCAAACACACTCATCCTGTTTATCTTACTCTTTCCATTTAGATAGAATCCTGCCCAGAAGCCTTCCTTTTTCATTGCTTTGGGTTGCAAATTTACACCCCTCTATTATTTATAGCTCTGAGCTTGTTAAACTCTAACCCCTTAACTCTTCTAAAGTATAATTACAGGTGTAGTTGTCTTATTAATACACAGTCTCAAGCTATTATCCCTTATCTCATTAGTTCCCAGGCTTTTACCATTTGGTTTCCAATTTGTGAAGCAAAGGGTGCTTTCTAAACACAAGCTTTGGTTTGCCTATGATTTGTACCCTGCAGTTAGTCTAAGGTTTCCTTTGTGCAAAGCCCACCTTTGTGGCCTGCAGTCTCCAACGTCCATTCTCCCCATCATGTAGCCACCTGCCTTCACTTTCTATCTAAATTTAACCTGACCTAACCTAATTAGCTTTCTCTTGGCTCTGTCAGTCCTGGGCCAGCAAATGTGTAGGCATCTCACCATGCATCCTTCCCTGAGAGTTCAGTTTGTTGTTCTCTGGAAGGATTATGTGCCTGGAAGGGCACTGGGGGAGAAGCTCTGTTGCCCTGGCAAAGAGAGTGTCTGCTATGCCATGTTCTGGGCATTTGTAGCCTGACATGTGAGGCTCCAGAGGCAGCCTCATCTCCTCACCCTCACGAGGGTATCAGATGGTCTAAATTACCTTAAGGATCCTAGGAACTCCTGAGTGGCAGTTCTGCCCACTTAAAACTGTGAATATAGTTAAAGATAGTTGTTTGCAGATGTTTAAGGCAGTGGCGGCTTCACATGCTGGCCTGCTACTAAGCTGGGGACTGAATAGTTTTACACAGAAGCAAGCTTTTTGCCTAGGATCTGACCCCAGATTTGTGAGATGAAGTGACCCTCGACATCTGTGAGAGTCTAGGTGCCTCCCTTCCTCTTGCAGGTAGGGTGCTGTTTGCACTGAAATCTTTGCCTTGGCCCAGAACTGACCTGGCTCAGTCTCTGCCAGGCTTGTCAGGAAGACAGTTGGGATTCTATGTCATTCTTCATGGCAGTTCCTGGAGTCTGGCTGAATGCTTTGGAGGCAGAATTTAACTGAGAGGCTGCTTCAAAGAGCCTCAGAACTGGTTGGGGCCATGGCAGGACCAAGAGCCCTCTCTGCTTCTAAAGAAATTTACTGGCAGGGAATAGACATTCCAGGCAGCCTCCAACCAAGCCTAGTACTTGGGCTGCACATCTCTGGATTTTGAACATTCTTGATTTTACCAGATCTTGGCCCTTTGCTTGAGTCCATCTGTCCTGTTAGAGTAAGAGTTGGAGGATCTTGGCTCCAAGAAACCAAGGAAAAGAAACAATTCTTGCTCCTGCAAAATATTAGCATTTACTTCTGTGTGAGTTAATTTCATTTTTTTAAGATTTATGTTAGGCCGGCACCGTGGCTCACTTGGTTAATCCTCCACCTGCGGCGCCAGCAACCCAGGTTCTAGTCCCGGTTGGGGGGCCGGGTACTAGTCCCTGTCGCTCCTCTTCCAATCGAGCTCTCTGCTGTGGCCCAGGAGGGCAGTGGAGGATGGCCCAAGTGCTTGGGTCCCTGCACTCGCTTGGGAGACCAGGAGGAAGCACCCAGCTCCTGGCTTCGGATCAGTGCAGCCATTAGGGGAATGAACCAACGGAAAGAAGACCTTTCTCTCTGTCTCTCTCTCATTGTCTATGTCTCTCTCTCTCACTAACTCTGCCTGTCAAAAAAAAAATAAAAAGATTTATTTTATGGGCCCAGGTAATGGGTTAAGCAGTCACCTGTGATGCTGGCATCCCATATGGGCACGAGTTCAAATCCTGGCTGTTCCACTTCTGATCCAGCTCCCTGCTAATGTGTCTGGGAAAGCAATGGAAGATGGCCCAAGGCCTTTAGCCCCTGTACCTACTTGAGAAACTCCAGATAAACCTCCTGGCTCCTGGCTTTTGCATGGCCCAGCCCCAGCCATTGAAACCATTTGGTGAGTAAACCAACAGATGGAAGATCTCTATCTTTCCCCCTCTCTAACTCTGTCTTTCAAATAAATGAGATAAATCTTTAAAAAAAATTTTTTTAATTTTGTTTATTTGAAAGACAGAGTTACACAGAGAGAGGATAGAGAGAAATCTTCCATCTGTTGGTTCACTCCCCAAATGGCCACTGTTGTGTCTGGCCATCCAACAACAGAAGCCAGGAGCTTCTTCTGGGTCTCCCACATGTGTAACAGGGCCAAGCACTTGGACCATCTTCCATTGCTTTCCCAGAGATATTATTAGGGAGCTGGATTATAAGTGGAGCACTTGGGACTCAAACCAGCTCCTAAATGGGAAGCCAGCATCACATGCAGTAACTATATCCCAAGACCCATATGTGAAATATTTTTAGAACAGTATTTTTACAAAATTCTGACTCTTGAGCATCGGTTTTTCATCCTTTCGGCTTTTTAAAGTATGAAATGGCTTGATATGCAAATTTAAACAAGCACACACCTGTGTAGCTACCACTCAGATCAAGATCTGCTGCCGTCACCTCATGCCGACGCGGGTAGAGGAGGCAGCGCGGGGAAGAGGCAGCGGCGCCGAGGAGGCTATTGAGGCCAGCCGGGGTGGACGGCGACGCGGCCCACGACAGAAGTTTGAAATTGGCACAATGGAAGAAGCTGGAATTTGTGGGCTAGGGGTGAAAGCAGATATGTTGTGTAACTCTCAGTCAAATGATATTCTTCAACATCAAGACTCAAATTGTGGTGGCACAAGTAACAAACATTCATTGGAAGAGGATGAAGGCAGTGACTTTATAACAAAGAACAGGAATTTGGTGGGCCCAGCCTACTGCACACAAGAGTCAAGAGAGGAAATTCCTGGGCGAGAAGCTCGAACAGATCCCCCTGATGGTCAGCAAGATTCAGAGTGCAACAGGAACAAAGAAAAAACCTTAGGAAAAGAAGTTTTATTACTGATGCAAGCCCTAAACACCCTTTCAGCCCCAGAAGAGAAGTTGGCAGCTCTCTGTAAGAAATATGCTGATCTGGAAGAGAGCAGGAATGTTCAGAAGCAAATGAAGATTCTGCAGAAGAAGCAAGCCCAGATTGTGAAAGAAAAAGTTCGCTTGCAAAGTGAACACAGCAAGGCTATCTTGGCAAGAAGCAAACTAGAATCTCTTTGCAGGGAACTTCAGTGTCACAATAAAACGTTAAAGGAGGAAAATGTGCAGCAGGCACGAGAGGAAGAGGAACGGTGTAAAGAAGCAGCTGCGCATTTCCAGATGACTTTAAATGAAATCCAAGCCCAGCTGGAACAACATGACATACACAACGTCAAACTCCGACAGGAGAATATTGAACTGGGAGAGAAGCTGAAGAAGCTCATTGAATGGTATGCACTGAGGGAAGAGCATATTGATAAAGTGTTCAAACACAAGGAATTGCAACAGCAGCTAGCGGGTGCCAGACTGCAGCAGACGACACAGCTGATAAAAGAAGCTGATGAAAAGCATCAGAGAGAGAGAGTTTTTATTAAAAGAAGCAACAGAGTCAAGGCACAAATATGAACAAATGAAACAGCAAGAAGTACAACTGAAACAGCAGCTTTCTCTTTATATGGATAAGTTTGAAGAATTCCAAGACTACTATGGCAAAAAGCAATGAACTGTTTACAACCTTCAGACAAGAAATGGAAAAGATGACAAAGAAAATTTAAAAAACTGGAAAAAGAAACAATAATATGGCGTACCAAGTGGGAAAATAATAACAAAGCACTTCTGCAGATGGCTGGAGAGAAAACTGTCCGTGATAAAGAATACAAGGCCTTTCAAATAAAACTGGAACGATTAGAGAAGTTGTGCAGGGCTCTTCAGACGGGAAGAAATGAGCTCAACGAGAAGGTGGAAGTCCTCAAAGAGCAGGTCTCTGTCAAAGTTCCAGACAGGGAGTTGCCCATGCCTGTGATGCAGCCCTCCAGCAGCCCCGGCCCGGATTCTCCCAGGGAGCTGTATACTTCCTGCAGCAGAGCCCTGGGGGCACCGCTGGAGGCTGTGCCCGAGGCAGTGAGTGAGCCAGTGCTGCCCAGAAGCCCCCTTCCTCTGTCTCGGCCCCAGGGGTTGAGTCAGTTGACTAGGAGGAAGTGTGAACACTGTATTGAGAGGTCTATTTTGTGTATAACTTTCTCTGTGAGTAGTAACTATTGGTTTTGTGGTGAAAATTTTCTTACTTTTTCTACCATATCTGTATTTTCTTAGAACTACTGGACTTAAGTGGTACAGGAGGCTGCTTAGCAATTCTGAATAGATTTAATCTCTGCTGTGTTGCACATCCACCTCATGTCCCCCTTCACTGGAATGCATGTGCTCATTGCCTTGTCCTTTCTCTTCCTGCTCAGCATACACGATTATCCCAGTGAGTTTCACTCAAGACAGGGCCAACTATTTCACATTTTATGTGAAAATATTAGTCGCAGCCCCCATCAATATTATTCAAAAAAAAAGGAAACTATCAGGATTAGTTTTGCCTAATAGCCATCTGAATGCCAAGTAAAAATAAAACTTGTACTGGTTCAAAACCAAGCATAGCATATTTGATTAAGTTTAGCTTTTTGGTAATATTTACATCACTTGAAGAATTGAGATGGCTGTAAGCCTTGAATCCCTGTAAGTTTTGGCAGGATATGTATACAGAGATGTCACTTGTGAACAAAGTAGCATGTACAGGCAAAGCACTGGACAAACAGGCTGGCTGTGTATGTGACTAAAAATAGTCCTACTGCTTTGGTTTTGAAGTTAGAATCCATGTGTGGAATTTGCACCACCTGATTCTGTTTGTGGATGGTAGTTTGTTTCGTTCCCATTTGGGTGCATATTTTCCACTTCCCACAGAAAGCTGGTTATTCTGTGAAAGCTGCTATTGATGTGTGCAGTCACTCAGTCTCTTGTTAAAAGTGATGAGGGCATAGTACCTGTAGCTTTCATTAGGCAGAAGTTCTTCTGCCTTCTGGCTACTTGAAAGTTAGTTTCAGTCGTTAAAAGGATCCCACCAGCAAGTACTCAAAAGTATTTTAAAAAGGGAATTTTTAATTTTGGATCAGTACTATAGCTACATGAAACTGCTTTCATTTTTAAAGCACTGGAGCAAACATGTTTTAAGTTTGGGAAAACCTGACAGAATGTTAAGTGGTCAGGAACTATTATGCCTTCATTGTTTCTCACCACTCTGTTCTAAGCTGTCCCCCCACAGTATTAGCCAAGGTCTCTACACTTGGAATGGGGAAAATTTTGAAATTAAGCACATAACTTTTGAATTAGTTCTTTAACTTCCCCTTTTTTTTTTAACATTCAGTGGTGGCTCAGTTATGTTATGCAAATGATTAATCAGGCTACACTATAGACTGTCCCTGGTATAATCTGCATTGAAATGCTTTGAAATAAAAAAGGTTTTATTACAAGTGATGTTAGCGCATTCCACAGAGCAAAACTATCAAACTGATACTTGTTAAATTGCTTACTGGAGGCCAGCGCCGTGGCTCAACAGGCTAATCCTCCGCCTTGCAGCGCCGGCACACCGGGTTCTAGTCCCAGTCAGGGCACCGGATTCTGTCCCGGTTGCCCCTCTTCCAGGCCAGCTCTCTGCTGTGGCCTGGGAGTACAGTGGAGGATGGCCCAAGTGGCCCAAGTGCTTGGGCCCTGCACCCCATGGGAGACCAGGATAAGTACCTGGCTCCTGCCATCGGATCAGTGTGGTGTACCGGTCGCTGCACGCCAGCCACGGCGGCCATTGGAGGGTGAACCAACGGCAAAAAGGAAGACCTTTCTCTCTGTCTCTCTCTCTCACTGTCCACTCTGCCTGTCAAAAAAAAAAAAAAAATTGCTTACTGGACTGAATAAACTCTTTGGTCCAGTTAAAAGGGTTTTCTCAAGTCCTGTCACAGTTATGGTCTAAACTGGGTTGGATTCATGGAGAATTGTTCAACAGGTAGGAAATCCAAGTTCCCACCATCAGTAATCAAAGGGCCACAAAGTAGGTTATCTACGCTGGCAAAAGTGAGTTGGAAGTGAAAGCAATGCCCTCTGACAGACTGACTTTTATACTCTCAAACCCACTTCAGCTACTAAATGAAATACTGGACTCACTTCCTCAAGGGAAATGAAGGTATATATCTGAAATATAATCTACTTTAAAATTTGTACTAATCACACTTTACAAGAACTCTGCTGGATGTACATCTCTTAACATTTTATCAAGCCATTTGTGTGACCCACCACGTTTCTTTGTGGTGCTTGTCCTATGTGGAAGATTGTAAATCTTGGACCTGTTGCATATTTTTAAGGGCTTTATAAAGCAATGTGACAGGCCAGCACCGCGGCTCACTAGGCTAATCCTCTGCCTTGCGGCGCTGGCACACCGGGTTCTAGTCCCGGTCAGGGCGCTGGATTCTGTCCCGGTTGCCCCTCTTCCAGGCCAGCTCTCTACTGTGGCCTGGGAGTGCAGTGAAGGATGGCCCAAGTGCTTGGGCCCTGCACCCCTTGGGAGACCAGGATAAGTACCTGGCTCCTGGCTTCGGATCAGCGCGTTGCGCCAGCCGCAGTGGCCATTGGAGGGTGAACTAACAGCAAAGGAAGACCTTTCTCTCTGTCTCTCTCTCTCACTGTCCACTCTGCCTGTCAAAAAAATAAAATAAATAAAAAATAAAAAAATAAAGCAATGTGACTAACAGTACTTGGCCTGCTGCTTTTGGCTTGCTACGTATCTTTAGGTAGATGCTTTCATGGTGTTTAAAAGGATATGGATTCTGTCTGGGATGCATTTGGTGTCCTTTGAGAATCCCCTCCCATTACCCTGTGAATAAAAAAGGAACTCTCTGGGAAGGACACCCTTCTAAAACAATCACCTCACTGGCCCAATGTTGTGACTTCGTAGCACGCCCTGTATCTACCATATTCTAGAATACTGTAATGCTACTAGGCTGGCCCAGAAAAGTTTTAAATGTTGAATTCACTTAAATTGCATTCGTTGCACCACCAAAAAAAAAAAATCTGAATCTTTCCATCATCCCAGAAAGCTCTCTGTATTCCTTCCTGGTCATAATTCCCTCCAGCTACTCCTGCCATGTAGCCCTGGATCTGACTTCTATTGTTTTGGTTAGTTTTGCATATTCTTTTCTTTTAAGGTTTCTTTATTTGAAAGGCAGAGTTATGAGAGGCAGAGGGAGAGAGAGAGAGTGAGAGCGAGTGAGAGAGGAGAGAGAGAGAGAGAGAGAGGTGTCATCCATTCACTGGTTCACTCCCCAGATGGCCTCAATGGCCAGAACTGTGCCAATCCAAAGCTAGGAGCAAGGAACTTCTTCCGGGTCTCCCACATTGGTGCAGGAGCCCAAGGACCTGGGCCATCTTTTACTGCTTTCCCAGGCCATAATAGAGAGCCAGATCAAAAGTGGAGCATCCAGGACTCAAATCAGTGCTCATGTGGGATGCCAGCACTGCAGGCAGCAGCTTTACCAATATGCCACAGTGCCATCCCCTTGTTTTGCATATTCTTGACTCTCATATGCACGTGTGTACATCATGTACCTTGTTTTGTCTTATTTTGCACAACATAATGCATGAAAGATTACCCAGGTTGTTTTATGTATCATTAGTTTATCCTTTTGCTGCTATGAAGTAGTATAATCTATCAATATGCTACAATTTACTGATGCCATTCCCCTTATTTAGTTGTCCAGCATATCTGTGAATGTTCAATCTGAAATGAGAATCTCTCTTGGCTGGTCTCAATCTTCCCTACCCTTTAATACCTAATGCCTGTCATTGGACAGTGTGGTCATCCTTGTGTGTTCTAGAATGTATAGTGGCCTCCCTCTTCTCTGATATCCTGTGATAGGGAGAGGGCTGGCCCCAGTTCTGTGGAAGTGGCCTTTGTGCCCTACTGGGTATTTCTTTATTCTTTCAGCAGATGAATATTGGTTTCTCACTATGTGCCCTGTACTGTTCTTGGTATTGAGAACAGGAAGGCACACTTCCAAAAGTCTTGCCTTCATGGAGCTTGTGTTTCACTACTTGGAGCTGGTGCTGTTCTCTGTTTTATGGACCCTTATTCCAGAAGAGCCTTGGTCTTGCTGGGGCTCTGCTCTCCTGTGGTTTTCTCCAGGACTGCAGTGGCAGAGGCCCTGGGCACCTTTTCAGGGCTTCTCTCAGGCTTGGGTGCCTTTGTCTTCCTTTCTACTAATGCTGATAGAAGTATAATCAGAAGCTGACTTTCTTAGTATCACTGCTTCCATGTCACTGTTCTGGAATCTGACTCCCTCTGTGACAGGAGAGAAATAATCTCCAGCTTTACTTGCTTTTATGGTGAGGGACCTGTGTTTTGATAGTACTTGCCAATCTGTCCTGATTCCCAGTCAGGGTAATGACCTTGCTTTGTACTAAAGTAACCCACAAGTATATTGCATGTACCTGTGCAGACCCGGCCTGAGAAAGGCAGGTTTGCTCCTTGGGGACCTCCTTACAGAAGCACAGCCACATGGAGCACATTAGCACTGAGCTGCTTCACCCCTGAACTGTGGTTGGCATATTTCAAAGGGAAAAGTTCCATACCAACACATTCCCCCAACCACACCCTTGCCAATAGTGCCATGTTTTTTCAGTTCAGCCTGAATTTATTTCTGTTGTCAAGCTCCTAAGAGCACATGAGAGTCTGCAAAAGTCCAGTGAGGAAAATGAGTCAGGGATCAGAGGTCTTAGGAGTTGTAGGCAAGGGAACTCCATTCCTCGTAGACCATCAGAGTTATTGCTCTTTCATGGCTGTAAACAATATTCCTGGGGTGTGTGGCTTGAGGCAGCCATGTGGGCTGTGAGGGAGTTGAATGAAGAGCAGCCCTGGGATGGCTCCCTTGCTTATCTTTCACCTCTCATACAATATTTTTACAGGGATGGGAGCCAGATGCAGCACCTTTAGCTTGGCTAAATAGCTTTGAAACCTCACTGCACTCTTAAATGTTGAAGACTTCTCCCAATTTCCTTTTAGGATCATGCTAATCATCCTTCCTACCCAGCATATGGATGTGCGGGATAAATGAGGACTCCTTGCTCCTTCCTTTCTCCAGGGATAAGGGAATCTAGGGCCTATTATCATGAGGGCTCTGGATTTTCCCTGGCCCCTCCAAAAGCTGGCTGGAGAAGTAGCCCCAGGCACTGGGCTTGGTTGATGAAGACAAGTGTCTTCACCTATTTCCAGTCCTAGCACCAGAGTTGTGGGATTAGTGACTCCTTTATGGGCTACCAGAAGCCAAAAGATATGAAAGAGTGATCTATATCCTCATGTTTATTGCAGCTCAATTTACAATAGCTAAGACATTGAATCAACCCAAATGTTTGCCATCTGAAGACTGTATAAAGAAATCATGGAATATGTACACCTTGGAATACTACAGAGTGAAAAAAGAAATGAAATTGTGTTGTTTGCAACAAAATGGATAAAACTAGAAGCCATTATACTTAATGAAATAAGCTAGTCCCAAAGGGACAAATACTATATGTTCTCCCTAATCCATAGAAGTGAAATCAACATTTGAGATGTGATGACTTTGAATAGCCCTTGTCTCAACTGTTGAGGAACAGTTTTTTTTTTTTCTCATACAATTTGTTGACCTCTTTACCTAGTATAGAGTTAATCTTGTATGTATAAAGTTAATTGAAAATAAATCTTGGTAAAAAATAAGAATAGGAATAGGAGAGGGAGGTGTAAGAAGGATGAGAGTGTGGGTGGGAAGGTGGGAAGAATCAGTATGTTCCTAAAGTTGTATTTATGAAGTGCATGAAGTTGTATACCTTAAATAAAATGT